CGGATCTGCTCCCTCGTATGCTTGAGCCCCCGCCCGCTTTGGTGTCCCGCCGCCCCGCCCGACCCGCGTTGGGGTCCGCCCGGCCGACACGCGCGTTCGGGTGCCCTGGGGGCTGTAACAAAAACGACTCACGATTGAAGAAGCCGTCCTGGGGAGATCCTCTAGGGTCTGAGACCCATGTCCCTCAGAACACGTTTCCTCCTCGGCGACGTCTGCGTCAGCAGGCCGCTGGGACACTCATCCACAGATCTTCGGATGCCGCCTGCACTCGAGGGGCAAAATCAATCATCATCGAATCGGAAGATCAGATCAGATCGGAACGCGCGTCGAATCTGGCCGCATCGGCACAGGAGTCGGCTTCGAATCGGATCGGCCGCGCAAAGATGCACATCGGCACCATGCGAGCACGGGGTCGTACCGGATCGTATCGATCGGTCGAATCGGATCGAATCGAGTCGAATCGGATCGAATCGAGTCGAATCGATCAGATCAAAACTGTCTGCGAGGGACAAGCGCAAGTCTGCGAGCAACGCCGCCAAATCCCGCGCCCCCGCCGGGGCGGACAACCCAAGGAGGCGGCAAAGATGGCCATCCCTCCTCCGTCCCCCCACTCTTCCTCGTCCTCCTCTGACCCTCTTACTCCTCCTCATCCCCGTTGTCCTTCCCTTCCCTTCTCCTCTTCTTCCTCTTCCCCGTCCGCACCATATGCTTTTCTCCCCCTGCCCCATCTCACCGCCCTCCGCCTCCGTCTGCATCTCTCCTCAATCATCCTCCACCCCGTCCTGCTCCTGCCTCTCCTTCCGCTGCCCATCTTTCTCCCACTCCCCCCTTACCATTGCCGGGAAGACACGTCCTGGCCCAGGCACAAATATGCGAGGCGGGTACTCATCAAACGGAGTTTGGGGGGTGAGATCGCAGTGGAACGGAGAGGCCCACACTGGGAAATCGCTGTCGGTTTCGTCTTCTTGTCGTGCGTGCGGGCGTGGCGAAGCTGCGTGGGCGCGCGAGAGGAATGATGCCACCGTGGCTAAGGGCTGCGGAGCCAATTGTCCGCCCCCCCCCCGCCCGGGGTGTCCCGTCGGTGGCGCGGGGGTGCCGCGTCGGTGGCGAGGATGCCCCGTCGGTGGCGCGGCAAGTCCCGACGGTGGCTCTGGGTGTCCCGCCGTGGTGCCCCTATCGTAGCTCGTGAGATCAACTGTGAGATCGATCGTGAGATCGATCGGAGGTTGGGGGTTAAAGATCGCAGTGGAGCGGAGAGCCCCACAACCAGGCGCGGGGGTGCCCCGCCGGTGGCGAGGGGTGCCCCGTCGGTGGCGCGGGAGGCCCGGCGGTGGCGTCGGGTGTCCCGCCATGGTGTCTCGATGGCAGCTCGTGAGATCAACTGTGAGATCGATCGTGAGAGCGATAGTGAGGACGATTGCCTGATCGACCCGGGTCAACCAAGATAAGCAACTTCCAAAACTGACCGCCGACTGGCAATTCGACAAGAGCGCCCGTGACTAGAAAAGGTCTGCCCTGACGCAGGGGGTTCACGGTTGGCCACTCGAACAAAGTCGCCCTGGCTGACCCCCGTTTGCATTGACCCCCGTCTCCTAGCCCCCGACCGCCGGTGGCGCGGGAAGCCCCGGCGGTGGCTCCGGGTGTCCCGCCGTGGTGTCTCGATGGCAGCTCGTGAGATCAACCGTGAGATCGATCGTGGGATCGATGGTGAGGACGATTGCGTGATCGATGGTGAATCGAGAGACCGATAACTACTGAGGTCTACCTCGCCGTGGCTGGGGGGGCCCATCGTGGTGTCGCGATGGTGTCTCGTGAGATCTCTTGCGAGGTCAATCGTGAGATCTCTTGTGAGATCGATAGTTAGATCGATAGCGAGATCGATAGTGCGATCGCCGCGGCTGTGGCCTTCGTTAAAATCACCATGATTCATTATCACCATGAGCGTCATCGTGCAATGTCGCCATCTCATCGTCATCACAGTAATCGCAGTTGTTGTTGTTGTTGTCAAAGGGTTTTGCTTTCCCCCCAGACCTCATTTTATCACCCGAAGGGTGGACGTATAGGGTATAGGTAACCACTGCGTGGGGTATCTAACTCCGGGGACATCGGCAGGCAACGAGCACGGATACAGTCACAATCAGCGAGAACGACGAAGATCACGATGCCCCTTGGAAGCGCTGAAATGAACACAACAAAACACTCCGACCCTCAAACACCCAAGGATGCAAGGGATACTAGGCCACATCCTTACCCCCCGCGCGCCAGAACACATCGAGAAGAGTACCCTTGGGGGAAGAAGCTAAACATGTGCGAAAGATGGCCAGAACCGAAACATTCAAGGCGCCCTTGCGAGACATGTCCGTCGTGAACGCCGGCTTTCCGTGCATGCGAGGCACGAGTTGGAGTGCTCTCAGGTCCCTTGCTCAATCCCCTGAACCCCAGTCTTCAAGTCTTGAAGATCTTTGGGGCCTGGACCCCAAATTCTCAAATCCCCCAGGGCTCCAGGTGCGCCCGGGGCGCCTTCCCGCATCACAGTGTCTGGACCCCAAAAGGTCCGAAGACCGGCCACGAGGTCTGGGACCCACAACCAGGGCACCGCGGCGGGATGGGGCCGAGGTCCACGAGACAGAAAGCCCCGCCACGCATAGAGAAGAGCCTTCGCAAGGGCCGAGCGAAACAGTGGTTCCCATTTCTATTTCCGTTGTTTTCGATATCCCTCGTTCTGTTTTCGTTCCGCCTTGGGTGCGAACCGACATCAAAACAAAAACGGCCCACGACATCGCCACAACACGGTGCGGGCAAAAGTATCCATATCCACTGCGTCTTGGAGATTCAAGGTCCCTTCCTCCGATACCAGAGGCGCCGTGAATATGGATAAAACAATTTTGCCCCTAGGGTCATATTTTCATCCATATCCACTGCGCCGCTGCCTGTTGACCTGCTTTCCTAGGAAGTCCAAGACGCAATGGATATGGATATAACTCGTGACCGCGCACGGTTCAGCTCGAGCCCTGGAGTTAGGCCGGGCATGCCCTCCTACAGGCTCACGTCGGCAGAACCATGGGAAGTAGGCAAACATAAGTATTGAACACATGTCACGACAAGTAGAACAATCGCCTCCAGACTACTGGTTTAACTATTCTTGAGTATTCCTCATATAGCGGGGCATGTCCGACTTAACTTTAACACCGCGAGCTGCGGGCGGCCGCGCCTGGAGCCCATCGGGGCCACCCATGCGCCGTCGCCGCCGCCCACCGCGGCCTCGCCATGCGCGCCCGTCAGGCTGCCGCAGATCTGGCGGATCATGGCCCGCGGCGGGAGGATGGGGAGGGGGAGAGGGGAGGGGAGGGGAGAGGGATGGGCGGGAGGATGGAGGAGGAGGAGGATGAGGAGGAGGAGGAGAGGAGGAGGAAGGAGACGAGGAGAGAGGAGGGAGGAGGAGGTGGGGAGGAGGAGGCAGGGGAGGAGGAAAGGGAGGAGGAGGAGGAGGAGGAGAGGAGGAGAGGAGGAGGATGAGGAGGAGGAGGAGGAGGGGAGGAGGGGGAGGAGGAGGAGGAGGAGGAGGAGGAGGAGGAGGAGGAAGGAGGAGAAGGAGGGTGGGAAAGGAGGGGAGAGGAGGAGCAGGCAAGGAGGAAGAAGGAGGGGGGGAGGAGGAGGAGGAGGAGGAGGAGGGAAAGGGAGGAGGAGGAGGAGGAGGAGAAGCAGGAGGAGGAGAGAGGAGGAGGAGGAGGAGGAGGAAGGAGGAGGAGGAGGAGGAGGAGGATGAGGAGGAGGAGGAGGATGAGGAGAGGGGGAGAGGAGAGGGGAGAGAAGGAGGAGGAGGAGAGGAGGGGAGCGGTGGGAGAGGTAGAAGGGAGGGAAGAGGAGGGAGGAGTGAGTAGGAGGAGGAGGAGGGGAGGTAGGAGGGGGAGAGGAGGGGGGAGGAGGAGGAGGAAGGAGGAGGAGGAGGGGAGGAGGAGGCGAGGAGGAGGAGAGGAAAGGGGAGGGGAGGAAGGATGATGGGAGGAGGAGAAGCAAGAGGGAGGAGGAGGGGGGGAGGAGGAGGAGGAGGAGGAGGGAGGAGGAGGAGGATGAGGAGGGGAGGATGAGGAGGCGAGGAGGAGGAGGAGGAGGAGAGGAGGACGAGATGGAGGAAGGAGGGGCAGGGAGAGGAGGGAGGGGGCAGGAGGAGGGGGAGGAGGAGAAGGAGGAGGGGGAGGAGGGGGGGGGACTATGTTTCGGACTATGTTATTCCGGACGGCCCCCGGGGGGTCCCCGAGGGGCCGGGCGACTCCCCGGCGCGGGACAACATCCGCCCCCTGGGCCTTCGGCTCCCGCGCCTTGGGGAGCCGGGGGCGCCGCTGCCCCAGGGGGTGCCTTTCGCGGGGGAGCGCGGCGCCTCCGTCGGCCAAGGGGTGTGGGATGGGCGCGTCCGGCCCCCCCACAACGCCTCAGCCGCAGGCGCGTCCGGCCCCCCCACAACGCCTCAGCCGCGGGTCCGTGTGGCCGCGAGGGGGGCGGCCCCCTCCCACAGCACCATCTCCCACCCCGGGCTCCCCAAGCGAAGGAAAGCGCGGAGGGGAGGGGCGGGGGGGAGGAGGCGACCATCCTCTGCGGCACCATCGGGGCGCTAGCGCCGTGGTGCACGTGACCCGCTAGACTGCGGGATCTTGGAAAACACACCAAATGTCCCCAGGGGCCCTTAAGCCTACCCACGTCTTGCACAACATAAAATAGCCAAACAATGTCTGAACAAATGTCGTGGGCTTTGTTGTTTTTTTTTTTTGCGTTTTTTTGTTTTGTTTGTATCAGCGTGACTGGGTGTGCACGAACGATGACAACATAATGTTATGATCATTGCCAGCGCGGACACTATATGCGGAGAAGGACGGTGAAGAAAGGCAGGGTGAAGGCAGCGGGAAAAGAGTGGACAGACCGAGAAGGAGAAACCAATGTCGAGGGGGGCGACGCGCTCTTTCCGCCCTCGCCCGCGCGCACTGCCTGGCCCCCATTGCTATTCACATAATGAACGACGGGGCAACCAATGCAGGGCGCGCATGAGCGCTCAGGATACATCAGATACCAGACTCGACCGAGGGAGAGACTAACGCAACGAGAACCCTGAAGAGCATCCCACGAGACCCTCATATGCCACCCAAGAGGCCCTGACCCACAGCCGAGGCACAGTGGCGCGTTGTGCCGAATACCACTCTGGATAACCTCCACGGACGTCGCGAGCTCTAACTCCTTCAAGCCACAAGGCGTAACCCACTTGAATAACGCAATGGGCAGGGATTGGAGGGCAGGTGGGACGGCCGATGCGGCACGCCAGCTGCAACGGCGGGGGAGCAGGAGCAGGGGCAATAACATGACTCAGCAATGATGGGGGAGAGTGAGAGAAAGAGAAAAGGGCACGGGGGCGGATGCTGCAAGGGCCATTTTTCCGACTGAAAGGGCCAAGTGGCCGAGAGCCGAGAACCCTCGGCATGGTAAGGTACTCATAAAACTTCGAGCCACCCCGCGGCTAGCGCAACGCGGCCAGGCGCCACCGAGGAGGGGAGGTGAGGAAGAGTTGCCAAGGCTGCGGAAAGGAGCCAGGCAGAAAGGAGAGCGGGAAGGAGAGAACGAGGCAGGAGGGCCGGATGAGGCGGTCGGGGGCGCGGCGCCTGTCCTGGGAAGCACCTCCTGGGAAGCGCCTCATGTGAAACACCTCTTGAAAAGCCCATCCTGGGAATCACCTCCTGGGAAGCGCCTCATGGGAAGCACCTCTTGGGAAGCCTGTCCTGGGAAGCACCTCCTGGGAAGCGCCTCCTGGGAAGCACCTCCTGGGGAGCGCCTCCTGCGAAGCCCCTCCTGGGAATCACCTCCTGAGAAGCCCCTCCTGGGAATCACCTCCTGGGAAGCGCCTCCTGGGAAACGCCTCCTGAGAAGACCCTCAAGGGAATCACCTCCTGGGAAGCGCCTCCTGGGAAGCACCTCTGGGGAAGCCTGCCCTGGGCAGCACCTCCTGAGAAGCACTTCCTGAGAGGCATCGCAAAAGGAGCCTCCAGCATTACGGCCGCCGTCCCCGTGATGAGCAGGCGCATCGCCCATCGCCGTCGTCGTCGTAGTCGAGATCATCATCGCAGCCCGCATCGTCTAACGTCCTCATGGCCATCATCGGGGTCATCATCATCATCACCACCATGCACCTGCTCATTATCATCATCTTCCGCCCTATGACAATCGAGCTCGTCGTCGCCTTCCTTCCCACCACAGTGATTCTACCGCGGGCAGTCGCCCGAGCGCCACGCCATGCGCAAGCCAGCCCTGTAGAAGCTCAGCACCACCGACGGGAGACGGCGGCCAGGCACAAACCCAGCCTCAGACATGCGGGCTTGGAGCTGCACCATGGCCTCGCGCGTGTCCACTGCTGGGTTGGTGCTGCCCTCATTGTCGAGCTTCCCCTTCACGACCATGTATGCGAACGTTACGTTCTGGACCCAGTGGAGCGCGTCGTCCACGGTGCCTTTCAGCTCAGCGTCGACCGCCAACTTGAGCTCCTTGGACTTCTCGGAGTAGGCCTCGAACGCCTGGCGAGGGAGCGGGTTGAGAGCGGAGGTGGCGGTGGCGGCGCGAAGCGGCGAGCGGGCGCAGGGGTGGGCGAGGCAGCTGAGGAAGTGGACGATGGGGAGCCAGATGCACCTCGTCGTACCCTTCCTCATCCCCTGGCGTCCAAGGTGGGAGCATTCTCCCAAGCCTCACCCCCATTCTCCAAACTACTGCCTGTCATTATCACAATCCTCCTCCTCCTTCTCGTCCACCTTCCCCCCAACCACTCCTCATGATCATCCGCTCCTCCGCCGCGAATCCACCTAACGGCTTGTTGGGACACCCGCCTTCTTGCACGCACTGCAGTGCGCCAAGATCTGCTCGTCGTTGAGGTCGGCGAGAACGGTGGCGGTGATCTTCTTCGCCTCGTCCCAATCCACGGACGCGTTGATCTCGCTCATCCACTGATCAGCCTTCAGCTTGTCCAGCAGGCCCGACCCGAACTTGGCCAAAACCTGGCGCGCCGCCTCCCGCAAGGAGTCCACGAACTTCTCGCATACCTGCTGGTAGTCGCTGATCTGCTTCTCGGCGATGCCCGCGCACTTGGAGGTGAGCGCGATCAAGGTAGCATCACCTGCAGTCGCCGATGGGCAAGCCTTCACCTGGTTGACCGCCCTGGAGGCCTTATGGAGCTCGTCGTCAATCTTCGCGTGCCCAACCACCTTGGCGATATCGCCATCGCCCAATGCGAAGACCATAGCCAAAGCGTCGTTGAGATCCATGACAGCGCGGAGGTGCTTCACCGCGACGTTCGCCCTGGAGCGGATGGCGGAGTTCATCGTGCCCTGCATGCTCTCTAGAAGCTCGAGGTCAGAGGCTGGAATCGCATCCGCATCTACTAGTTTTTTCAAGGTCGACTCCAGCGCGTCCGAAAGCTTCGCCTGAACCACCGAGTCGCCCTGCACTAGTGACAAATCCGTGGTCTCACCGATCTTCTTGAAGTCCTCAGCTGAGCATGTTCCGCTGGCGACGGAACCAAGCACCTCCAGGAAAGAACTCTTGTTCTTCGAAGTCTCCAGCTCCGTTTTCTTCTTCTTGACCTCCTCCGTGCACCGACCAACTTCACAGGAAAAAGGCATGACCGTCTCTGCCGTGTGTAGGACTTCGATGTATGAGGCCGCCAGCTTAGCGCCAATAGCTGGGAGGATGGTCCCGTCGCTGGCTTGCTTTAGGAACTCATGGACTGAAGTGGTCAACGAGTTCAGGGTCGCGGCCTCCAGGTCCTTGCCAAATTCGGCGCCAACGGCCTCCAAGACGAACTGCACCTGCCGCAAGTAGTCGTGAAACTTCTCCAGGTAATCCGCAGAAGGGTCAGTGGAAAGCTTCTTGATGAGAGATGACGCGGTTCATCTCAGGAAAATGGTGAGAGCACATCGTCGCCGTGCGCTCGAGGATCCCGAGTTTTTTCTTCCAGAACGGTTCCTGATCGAGAGCCTTGCCGACGAACGCGAAAGGGTCGCCATCGGCATTGCCCTTCAACGGGCCGTTCACCACGGACTGGATGTCGACGAACACGCTGGGTGGCGTCGAACTGGATGGCTGCACGCCGTCCAGGAAGTTGACAACTTTCAAAAGGCGCTGCAAGTAGTTCAATGCCACTGCAGGCGCCTTCTCGATATACACCTCGTCATCGTCAGGCATCTGTAGCAACTGCGATGCCAGACCAACGAAGGCATTCACAATGTCGACACCCTGCTCCCCCAGGGCAATGAATTCGGCGAGCCCGTCCACCGCGAACTTGGTCAGAAAGAAAGAGGCCTGGTCCATTGGCGTCGCGCTAGAGTTGCAGAGCCTCGGCGCCTGGCACGAGAAGGCAACATGAGCTTGGCCCAGCCTGGGAAACGCAAAAATATCACGAGACCCTGGTGGCTAGACTAGTGCTCAGGGCGGCCCCTCCATCTTGCCCACAGCCCAGGGCCGTGCCCGCTACGCTGTCGGGGACTTGCTTGCGACGCTAATTAGGCCAAGACGCACGGTTCGGCGATCCCCTGCTTTGCCCCGCACTTCCCTGATCACCTCAACTCGCCTGGGCGCCGTTCCTGCATGTGCTGGCGGGGATGCGCGAAGCGCCAAGAATTTGGAGAGGCCCTAAACAGCACGCGCGTTGGGGGCACCGAGCACACTCGGACGCACTTGAAGCGCCTCTCCCCCCCCCCCTCCCGCACTGTCGCACACAGGTGGGCAGACCCTGACCAGCATGCGCATAAACAGAACCACTTGGAACTGACCTCGCAACATAGCATGCACTGAGCGGGGCCTTACACCGCGCACTGAACGATGGGAGCCTGGATGGCATGGCATTGCATGGCATACGCAATGAGAGACCCTAAACAACATAGGAACGCCTTGCGTGCATGACGACGCGCCCTGAGCTCCAGAATGGTCCGAGCAGGGCGGGCGCACGGAGAACGATGGTATATACAAGTAGGGGACGGACGAGGAGGAGAAGGGCGAGGCGGAGGATGACGATGGCGAGGGGCATGAGGACCGAGACTAAGCCTAAGCGATCCCTCCCCCCTGTCCTCGCGGGCCTCCCCCTGCAACGATACAGTGATTTTGCGATCGGCAGATTGCGAGCAAAGCTGGGTGCTCGCAAGCCCTGCGACTTGTCTATCGGCGAGCTGATCGCGACGACCCTGAATAGATACGTATCTGGAGGGGGCGAGTGATCTTCTACAGCAGGCGCTCAGAAAGACCCAGACGATTCGAGCGCGCAACCGCGACGAGATCGCGCGGCCTCAGCCCGAGGCCCGTCGACCTGCCTCAATTGTTGAGCAGATCGCGATGCCCAGGATAAAATGTGCAACGAGGGATGCATTAGGGTCATTAGGGGGCCGATTAACCTCCACACCAGACCCCCCCAGAGACTCGAACATCCGACGCTGGAAACCCTATGCCCAGCGGCCAATGGAATGAATACCCGTGCGAAGCATGCGCTAATATAGAACATGAGGCCTAGACCGAACGTGGGAAGGTAGGTACTTACTAACTACTAACAAGATCGGCAGCATGCGCTGGCCAGGAAACATCGGATCTACAGCATTCGCTGATCGGGGAACGCCAACTTAGCCTCAAGCCCGACTCGGCAAGCACACATCTCACAAGAGACCCCCAAACGGCAGGTGAGCGGAGATACCGTAAACAGCATGCGTGACACGTAGGAGCGATGAATGAGAGGTAGGAGGTAGAAGGCAGAAGTCAATTTGCAGGCGCCCCGACGCCTAGAATGAGCCAGCGCACCAGCAGTCGTACGGCGTCTCCCGCCCTACGAACCCCCAAAGCGGAAAAAATGCAGCGGCGCAAGACACTCGAGGCGAGGGGGAGGGAGGCGAGGGGGAGGGGTAAGGTAAAGTGAGTGATGAGAGGAACGAGAGGATGAGGAGCTGGAGCCCTGGTGGCCTGCCAGCGCTGGCCTAGGGCCTAGAGGCCTAGAAGGCCAGGAACCTCCCTGGTGGAAATCCAGCGCTGGTCAGGGAACTTGTCCTTGCACTCCTGGCAGAGCCACTGCGGCTGGGCGAACAGCGAGCAATAGACCTTGCCGAAGTGGATCCCCTTGCCGTACGGCTTCACGCGGTAGCAGCGCTCGCACGTGGCGAACCACGGCCCGATCTTGAGGCGCGAGCAGTACAGCTCGGGCTCCTTGAAGCGCTGCGTGGCCAGGCGCTCCTCGAAAGCGAAGCTGACCGTCTTGGCCTTCTTCGTCTTGTACTGCTGGTGTTCGCCTGCTTCGCCTTGGCCTCGCGATCGGCGCTTCCTCAGCACGCCCTTCGGCGGCTGCGGCTGCAAGCTCTGGGACGCAGACGAAGAGGATGAGCTCGCCACACTCGGCCCCTTCGGCGGCTCGAAGCGCGTGGCGAACCTGCCAAGGAACAGTGGGAGGCCCGACCTCTCCGAGAGGCCCTTGGGAACGCCCCGCGACAGGCCCGCGGGGATGTTCTGAACAGAGCTGGCGTCGACGCTGTAGTCAGAGCTGGCGCTCGCGTTGCTGGGCTGACCCTGGCCGCCAGTGGCCGGCGTTCCGTGCGTGCGCAGCGGCGAGCGTGCTCCCGTCGGCCCTGAGGTAGTAGGCGCTGGCGTTGGCGTCGTAGGCGCTGACGTCGGCGCGGCCGTGGTAGGCGCTGGTGTCGGCGCAGGCGCTGAGGTAGGCGCTGGCGTCGTTGCTGGCGAAGCTGGCGCCGCGTCGCTGTCGGGATCCGCATCCGACGTCGACGACGACGAGCTGTCCGAGGAGTCCGAGCTGTCGTCGGAGGGGCTGCTCGCGGGCTGCGGCTGCGCCTCATGCGGTGGGCGCACCACAGGATCAGCGGGAGGCCCGACCTCCCCGCGAGGCCATCGAGGCGCGGGCGAACTGCTCAAGCCACTCATCGGCCAGAAGAGCGAGAACGCCTGCAGTGCCCCAGAGGTGTTCCCCTTGTCTTTGAACGGGCCGTACTGAGCCAAGTAGGACATGTAGCTCGCCGCCAGGTCGGCTGGAAGCATCTTGTCGAGGGCCCTCTTCACGATGTAGCCGTGCCGCTTCGCGGTGATAGGCGACTTGCCGAGGGTGCCCTGCTCGAAGGCCCTGAACTCCTCGACGATCTCGACGATCTTTTGCATGGTCAGCGTCGCCGCCGAGTGGCCCCCCATCGGAGTCGGCGCAGGCGCCGAGGTGCACCTTGCACCCAAGAGCAGAATGTCTGCGCCGCTTAATGGACTAAGCCGAAACAGCTGTAGCGAGAGGACTGATGAGCCAGCCTACTCGGCTCGCTGTCGGGGCGAGCTTGCAGGAGCCCAGATACACAAAAAGAGACGGTGTGCGTGTGTGTGTGTGTGTGTGTGTTTGTGTCTTCAATCGGCGGTGGCCTCGGCAGGGCCGCGCGAGCGGTACAGTACCGTCCTGGCGAAGGTCCCAACAATTATGCTGTTGTGAGTAAGAACTCACGATCTTTGAGTACCGCACTGTTGGGAGTGTCCTATATCATATCTACTTGTTGGGAAGGTCCTATATCATATCTACTTGTCGGGAGGGCCCTGTTTACTTTTGAGAGGGTCCTAGCTACTGCTGGAAGGTCAAATCTGTTTCCCCTTGCCGATGTACTGGCTGGGAAGGTCCTATTTCAGAGGGCCCTACCTACTTAGTGGGAGGATAGAATTGGATAAAGCGCGACCCGTTTTCAAAATATAGCTCTCGCCTTGGCGCCGCGTACAGTCCTCCTGAACATCTGCAAGGTTCACGCGGGTGAAAAGCGATTCCTCTTCGCAATTATGGAGGTTTACGGGCGACGGTACCATGATATCTTTTGGGTAAGGAGAAACAGCACACGCAATCCAACATGGTGCAAACGCTCGCCCCACGGATCGGGCATGATTTGGTGTAGCTGGTAGTTGTACTTTGGTCGTACCAATACCTACACCGATACTTCGGCCCGTAGCATATCACCGATGCTACAGGCTCTGATCCCTGTGTACAATGTGTACACTGTGTACAGGGCGGAGGTGCCAGAGGAGGCAGTAAAAAATAATACCCAAACGCGTGCGCTCATGCACTTACACGGGGGAGGAGAGGGGGAGGGTCCGAACTACTTCTCGCGAGACTCCTATCTACGTGTTGTCGGTGTCAGATCTCCCTCTTGGGAGGGGCCATTCTGATTGTGTGGAGGGCCGTGCCTCCTTATTGACATGGTCTTGTCTACTTTTGGGGCACACCTACCTACTCAGTGGTGAGTCCTGCCTGCTTGGTGGGACGGTCTGCTGTCCTTTTAGGAGAGTCCCACCTACTTGTTGAGGGGATGCGATATACTTCTGGAAGGACCATCGACTTGTTGGGAAGGCCTCATCTACTGTTAGGAGTGTGCTATCTACTCTCAGGGGGATATGCAATGCTCGTTTGGAAAGCAATACCCGCTCTTGGGAAGATCATATATATCTTCGGGCCAAGGGGGGGCGAACTTGAAAAGTGGAGAGGACACGATTGGAATTACCACTGGCTGGAAGAAGGGTGCGAGGACATGGAGGAGGCGGGAGGGGGAGGACCATACAGACTCATACAAACTTTTTGAGAGCGTGCGATTGCTCCAAACACAGCCGACTCGCGACCGTTGAAACGACCTCGCTGGTTCCCCGTACCCCATACGGAGTCTTGCGACGATGACCCCATTGCGGAATGCACCACAAAATTAGATGCAGCTGCTGAGGATGTGCAGCAGCAGCAGCCACGCTCACGAAAATCACACGATGCCAGCTGCCAGCGTGGTGAATCGGGATGCCACTATCACTACGCTGAAACTCCTCCCGTTCCTCCTCATCGTCATCCTTCTCATTACCATCATCCTCACCGTCCTCATCATCACCCTATCGGGCCCTATCGGGCCACACAGCGCTGGTGGCTAGCGGCTAGCGGCTTGCGCTCACGGCGAGCCGCTGCCCGATGACGAGGAGGCCGCCGACTGGGTAGGACTGAGGCCGCCGAGCACTGGGAGCGCGGCGGGCTCCAGGAGGCCGATGAACGGGAGGTCAGCAGCGGCGGTCACTTGCACGGCGTCGGGCATCACGATGACCCGCGGGCTCAGGTCGACGCACGTGGACGCCTTGGTGATCCACTTCTTCTTGATGGTGATGCTGGGCCTCAGGATCCGCACCCAGTCGGAGTGACACTTCGCCTTGCGAGCGAAAGGCCTGACGGCGTTCGCCTCCTCCTTCGTGTCGCAGAACCCCTCCTTCTGGAGCACAGCGCAAAAGTTCGGGATGATGACCTTGCAATTCTTCTTCAGCAACGCAGCCGCCGCGCGCGGGAGATCTGACATGACCGTCTCGACCACGCGACACGCCACGCCTGTGTTGGCACCGATCTCCGAGGCGAGGTCCTTCATCGCCTTCTTCCCCACGTCCTTCGAGGGCTGCGGAGGGTCCTCGATCAGAAGCCGCGGAAGCGGCTGAACCTGCGGCGCAGGCCCTGGCTGCGGCTGCTGCTGGGGCCCCTCGGGCAGCGGCGGCGCAGGGTTGAAATCCGCCGCGGGGTTCTCGATGTCGTCTTCGTCGGGCTGCTGGGCCCCCTCGGGCTCGGCAGAGCTGATGGGGCTGAAGTCCGCCGTGGGGTTCTCGATGACGTCTTCGTCGGCGAGCCCGTTGATGTTGAAGAACTGCTCGTTGTTGCTGCGCTTGTCCATCGGCGCGGGCGGCTGCCGCGCGGTCAAGCTCGGCGAGCGGTGCCCGCGACAGGCGGTCGGCGCGCGCCCGCGAAATCGAAGCGTGACCCGAGCCAAAATGGCAACGGCGGCATGGGCGATGGGCGGCGCCCCTGGACGGGGACGGGGGTCCTCGAGTCGAGTCTAGAGTCTGAGAGGCGCCCCCGAGGAATAAACGCTCTCTCCAAGACGACGGAGGAGGCGGGAGAATGAGGAGGGGGAGGGAGGCTATGTGGCCCCATAGTGAGCTCCAACTCGAGACACAGGCCCAGGCCACATTGGGCGCGCCCACGTGCATCAACCACCACCACCACCACCCACCGCTCCCCACTCCCCCCACTCCCAGACCCACCCACCTCCGCCCCCCCGCTCCCCCCTCCCCCCCTCAACCCACCACCCCACCCCACCCCACCCACCCACCCCCACACCACAACCATCACCACCACCCACTCTTGGGGCCGCCTTGGGGCCCTCTTGGGCCCCTTCTGGAGCAATCCAGGAGGCCCTCATGGGGTCCTCCTGGGGCCCTCTTGGAACCTCTTGAAGCCGTCTTGGGGCCATGCCGTCGTGGGGCCCTCTTGGGCCCTCTTGGGGGCCTTTTCGGGTTTTTTTACGTGTTGTGTTTTCGGGAAGGCCACATATACTCGTAAGAATTACCTATCCGATTTTGGTAGTGTCCGATCTACTTCGGGTGGGATCCTAAAGGTCCCAAATACCTGTTCGGAGGGTCCTGTCCGCTCGTTGGGAGGGTCCTATATATTCGTTGACGTGGTCATATCTACGTGTTGGGAAGGTCCTATATCTACTTGTTGGGGAGGACCCATATATTTCCCAACCATCCTGTGGTGTTGGGCCCCCGTTTTGGAGAGACGGTGCCCCGCGTCCCTTCCTTCCTTCCTTCCTCCCGCTGCCCCTCCCTCCTCCTCGTATCACCATCATCGCCATCATCGTCATTATCATCATCGCCATCAGCATCGCCATCGTCATCCTCGCCCATTTCGGTACACCCCTCACACGCTTCGTGGCCCCATAGGGAGCTCCACCGAAGGCCCCAGTGCTGCCGCCCGCATGCGTCCCCCACACCCATGACAGTGCGTCGTGGCCCCATAGGGAGCCCCACCGAAGGCCCAAATGGCTGCGTCCACATGCGCGCACCGCACCCATTTCGGCACACCCCTCACGCGCTTCGTGGCCCCATAGGAAGCCTCACCGAAGGCCCACATGGCTGCGTCCACACGCGCGCACCGCACCCATTTCGGCACATCCCTCATGCGTTTCGTGGCCCCATAGGGAGCCTCACCGAAGGCCCAAATGGCTGCGTCCACATGCGCGCGCCGCACCCATTTCGGCACCCCCCCACGCGATTCGTGGCCTCATAGGGAGCCCCACCGAAAGCCCAAATGGCTGCGTCCACATGCGCGCACCGCACCCATTCCGGCACACCCCTCACGCGTTTCGTGGCCCCATAGGCAGCCCCACCGAAGGCCCAAATGGCTGCGTCCACATGCGCGCACCGCACCCACTTCGGCACACCCCTCACGCGTTTCGTGGCCCCACGGGGAGCCCCACCGAAGGCCCAAATGTCTGCGTCCACATGCGCGCACCGCACTCATTTCGGCACACCTCTCACGCGTTTCGTGGCCCCATAGGGAACCCCACCGAAGGCCCAAATGGTTGCGTCCACATGCGCGCACCGCACCCATTTCGGCACACCCCTCACGCG